GAGCTTCAAAAAAACAAACAGGTTTCTTGAATACGAACAAACAGAAGCAGACAGTATTCTGCAAGTAGTATGCTTGTATTTTATTTAGATATTTATATAGCCACGGACTGTCAACTACAAGGTTCAGTCTTTAAAATCCAGCATTCAATGGAAGGCTGTTACTTTTCACGAGAAGCCTGACCAGGAATGCACAACAGAGAGAGGGCATATATCTAACTCAATAGAGTACAAAAGTTCAATGTTTTTCCACCTTATTGCATTCACTTATGCGGCGTCCTTCAACACTCCTGGCAAACTACTGTCGCAATCCACCCCCGAAAGGGAACACGCTAGAATGCTCTACATTCAGGTTAATGCTTCCATCCACCTTTAATGTTTAAACTCGAGGCCTGTCAGCCATAAACCTCTCCAACCGATAAGTGTCATATCTCTCGTTTTGAACCATTATTTTACAACTGCAAAAGATTACAAGTCGGGTTCTTTATATTATGTAAGTCTAATCCACCGACAATTAAGATAGGAAATGTGTCATTGCCTGGGCTCAGACAGAACCGTTGTCATTCCCGGAGTAAAGATGCACAAAGGAAGAGTGCTCAATAAATCTTTATTTTAAGAAGATATGGAAACGGCGGCTCACTGTCAAAGGAAAACAGTGCAGGGTTATATTGTCAGTCAGACTGAACAAAGAGCAATCTCTCTGTAGGTTAACTCTGAACATAGCGCCCTTTATGCTGTGCTGCAGTGGGGGAGGGCGGTGAACGACCACCGGTCTCATGTTACGAGCTGTTTTCTTAAACCACAAATCACATGGCCACTTCCAGCTCTTTACAGCCAGTTGTTGCCAATGTGATTGAGTGCTGTAAATAAAAGCTGCATTGGTATTTTTTGCAATCAGAGGCTTCATCATCCCTGGTATCCGTGCAAAAACAGTGGTGCGATGTCATGGGAAAAAAGGCTGAAGAATTTCACAACTAAACGATATGTGATTTTAGGCCATTGAAAATACTTGTTTACTGTATACTAAATATATACTGCACATACAAGATTGTAGAAAAGTCTGCTATTTCATGCCAACACTATAATGTAAAATGCTTTTTAAACTATTCTACCTCAGACTTGGCCTATAAATTAAGCAAAACACTAAAAAAAAATTTTTTTAAATGACTACGTTTCCATGTTACCATATTTTATTTTTATTTCCTGCAACATACAGGGAAATAAAGGCAAAGAAACAAAAGCGTTTACAGCTTGAACTTTCAGCTGCAGGGCAGCTATTGAGTGTGGAAAGTTCTGTGTGCTGATTAGCAGCGGTACAGTTTTGTGACCTCAGGACACAGCCCTGAAAACAAACGGCCAGCATACTGTACACACTTACTCTATACACACAATGACAGGAGCCGCTCCATTCATCTCCACCGCATGAGAGCTGTCTTAATGATCAAAGTCCAAGCTAGATTTTGCTTCAAATGGATAGGAAATTAGCATCTAAATTAGTCTAAATGTAAAATATTTTCTACTTTATACTTAACTTAAAATATTTAAATTGTTTACATTTTACACTTCAGTGTTATAATATTTTTATAAACTACTTTAAACAATATTTTATAATTTAAGATTTCCATATTAGTGGGGAGATATTTGAGGCCCATAAAAATACAACATTTGAAATGGATTATTACATTAAAATTGTTAAAATATATGAACGTCAAAATATATGAACAAGGGGCACATAATAAACTACCTGTACTAATTCTAACGATAAAAACAGAAATAACCATTTAAAATTTAATTTTAAAATTTAAATTTAACTCAAATGCAAATATTAGAAGTCTAAAGACATTTAATAACGACAAACTCTACAACAGTTTTATGAGGGGGTTGGGTAGATTTATGTATGTGTTATTACGTTTTACCACTGACAAAATAAAAACTCTAAATTATCTGTAAACATCACGGAGGGCCTGGGAGTTATTTACTATGTATTCATGAATGAAAATATGTCAGAATTGTTTTATGGCCCTGACCATTTACACAGATGTGTTACATATGGTCCATCTGTTTGCAAAATACTAGATTGCAAAATGCACTATCATGACTACACTGAAACAAAACAAAGCAGCAAACATGCTTATGTCTGACGGAAAAATATATATATAAATCAGGATTTTAGATGTTTCAATAAGAACTCTTGATGCAAAACATTTTCATTAAACATTATCTCGTTACTTGTCACTTGTAAGCGTTCAACAAAACATGTTATATACAAAGAGCAACATTTTTATTGGTATTTCAAAAAGGGCAAACGTCACACGCTGACCACTAATATTACAATCCACCAACGATGACTGGGATCCAAACAGAGCTCTACTACACTGCCCCATTGCCTGACTGACTTAAAGCCTGTTTCCATGTACCAAACGATAAAAACCTAGAATAAGCTAACGTTTAACAGGCTATTTCAAAATGCCATATCCTCACTGAGATCTCCCGCTCGTAAAATGTATTTTTCGCAGCATGTTTGCCGTTGTCTTACCGTCAGTTCGGGATTGTCGTGGTCGCGGTGAGTGACGGCTCGGATGACTCCGGCTCGCCATGACCAGCTCGCGATGTGCGCGGGCTCCAGCGGCTCCTCTCCGCTCACGCACAGGAACCGTTTCCCGAATAATTATAATAAATTATAAATTAATAAAGAATAATAAACTATATATAAATATAAATACTATATTTATAAAATAAATACATTATATACTTAATTTAATACTTAAAATATGATTGATGTAATAATAATTCTATAAAATATGATTTTGATATTAATAATACTAGAAAAATACACAGCATATGTTATTTCTTTTTATTCCGTCAAGCAGATGAAAATATTTTTACATTTTATGTCCAATTGTGTTTTACACTACTCCAATAGCTGACATGTGGGCTGTTCGTTGATGAGTACAAGAGGAGCACTGATATATGGGAAGCATATCCACTGGATACAATCAGTCCGTGTCACCTTTAGGTCAGAGCAGAAGATGGAGACAGATATTTTGTGGCTGATAGAATCACAAATCATAGAGTGCTGCTGAGATTGTTGGTCTTGTGGACACTCTGCTGAAAGCAGGACAGCTAATCTGTGCCTGACTAAAATGTTGAATGCAACATGGCACGATTCCAATTTACAGCTTCTTGAGCATCAATTGGAAGCAGCAGTGGAGAGAATACAACAAAGTGCATGCAACAGTATTACATATTTCTGTTTCTTCACATGCAGCGTGTATGTAATATGTAATTACAACATATGCTATGATTGAATGGTTGAATTTATTGTATAATAGGCTTCACTGTAACAGAGACTCATTATTATGTGAACATTAAACATATTGACAGATATTTTGTGGCTGATCATAGAGTGCTGCTGAGATTGTTGGTCTTGTGGACACTCTGCTGAAAGCAGGACAGTTAATCTGTGCCTGACTAAAATGTTGAATGCAACATGGCACGATTCCAATTTACAGCTTCTTGAGCATCAATTGGAAGCAGCAGTGGAGAGAATACAACAAAGTGCATGCAACAGTATTACATATTTCTGTTTCTTCACATGCAGCGTGTATGTAATATGTAATTACAACATATGCTATGATTGAATGGTTGAATTTATTGTATAATAGGCTTCACTGTAACAGAGACTCATTATTATGTGAACATTAAACATATTACATGCGAAAGAAAGGATATAGGTGAAAGAAATAATTACCTTCTGCTAAGTGCCATTATATTACCCCAATATGTACTTAATACACAAAGAGAAAATTAGATCCTTAACACCTCAGATGTTTAATTACATGAAGCTGCAAGACACAGAATAGCTCTCTTACTGGAATATTGCATGAATTTCAGCAAGATTACCAAGAGAGACCACAATTTACAGATGTCATCTGTTGCCGGATGTGTTCCACTACCCAATATGGCTATGCTTGATGTACTATTTCAATCAGTTAGAAAGCATTGTCCTTCCTTTCTTGGAGAGATTGCTATATTCACAAGAGACATATTGTTGTAATAATAACACGTGAGTAGCTTAATATGAAAGAGGGAAATATAAAAGAGGCAAATTACAGTTTCTTACAACTGTGATTCAGGAATTATTAGCATTTTCCCACAACCAAAAAATAACATTTTTGGTTATACTTTACATCATATATTTAGTAGCATTATTATAACATTGTTCTTGTTCAAACAGCTTATGTCCAAGGTTCAAATCTGTCACTTTGAACTCAGATCCCATTTTAAGTATTAAACTCTATTTAAAGGGGTCATATGATGCGATTTCAATTTTTCCTTTCTCTTTGGAGTGTTACAAGCTCTTGGTGCATAAAGAAGATCTGTAAAGTTGCAAAGACTAAAGTCTCAAATCCAAAGAGATATTCTTTATAAAAGTTAAGAGTCAGCCACGCCTAAAACGGCTTGTTCTAACACGCCCCCACATATCTACAAGGTTTTCTTTAAGATTCAGATTTTTTTAAAGACAACCTATATACGATAGATAGATAGATAGATAGATAGATAGATCAAAACATTAACAGAACTTTAACATTAAACATTAACAGGCTTTTTAACCTTATCTGTTTGTCGATCTATATTTATATAATATAAGAAATAATAGTAGAAATAACATTTTAGGGGGGGAAAGTCTTGAATTTACTTGCTTAAAAGCTAAATCCGTTAAACGGTAAAGGAACACATTACATTCCCCCAGTCTGTTTTTTGCAACACAACGCCAAAAAGATGATCGATTAGGAGTTTTTACTTTCAACGTTTTTATGTTTGATTGGTCTGTACCTCTTCCCGGTGGCTCTCAACGAATCAGCATCGAATGCGTTGAGCGTGTGGCGTTTAACAAACATTTTGTCTAGCCAACCAATGCCCGAGTTTCATGTAAACAAATCATATAGGCCAATCACGTAACAGGAAAAGCGGGCCCTTAAATCAAATTATTTCTGACGTCAACGTGAAAGCGCACCTTAAACGGCATCGGTTTGGGCGAGAGCACGACGAAGATAGGCACAAGAATGTCATTATTTTAACTCATATTAACCCCATAGTTAGTTTTATACAAGATGTTTGCGCGTAATACTGAGTAATGAGCGAGCGGAGGCTCTCAGGAGACCGTTAATGTTTGTCCTCGTCTAAAGTTGATCACTGAAGTTGAAAGTAAGGTTAGTTTAGCTAGCATCTCTCTCTGCTCGGCTCAATCCTGAGGAAAATATGGTGTCCTGGATTATATCAAGATCTGTCGTGTGAGTTTAATCCTCATTTTTTCCATAAATGTAGTTTATTTTTAAAGCTCGGGTTAAAAGAAATTAGCTCTTTATTTTACTGGTTTGCCTGTTAGTGTCCGTATTCCTAATACTGCACATTGAAGATTGTAAAAGTAGCTAACGTTAGATTTATGATCTTCTCAACCCTATCTCTGTTCTGATTGTTTAATCCAAGTGCTTTACTGTTTTTAAACATGACTTTTGGGAAGGGTCCTTGTTACTTACTTTACTTTACTTTTAGTCATTTAGCAGACGCTTTTATCTTGGAAGTATTTACATTTATTAAACAAGTATTTGGAAGATAAGAATTCAGAAGCAGCAAGCCAGTGTTTTTATGTGCACTGGATTGCTGTTTCAGAGGTTATGTCAGTAGTGAAATTATTAATATGGCAGTGACGTGTCAATTAATATTTTTGTGTTGACTCCTTGTACAAAAGTTTTGTTGGGGCTTTTGGGTTGGGTGGAGCTGTCATAAGGTTCTGACTAATCTCTCTGAACTTTTCCTCTCCCTTATGTTAACGTGTGGTGAATGTCATTCTACAGGCCCGAACACATACAGAAAGACTTAACAACCAGGAAATTAAAAAAAAAAGTTCTTAGTTTAGTTCTTTGATATCATGTCTGTCACTATGTGGCATCAAAATTAAATTGGTGGGTCCATAAAGACCCAACACTGCTGTTCAACAAGAAACAACATTGTTTGCAGGTTACTTAAGTAACTTGCTTATGTAATGTTTGCATTTTTTTTCATCCATTGATTCTCAAGTGTGTAGCATTTTAAACATAGCAGTTAGATGTAGCCTAAACCAAAGTACAATACATTTGCACACATTTAGATTGAATTTTGCACAAATATATTGACACGAGTCATATTCAGACTGTTGTGTCGCAAGTAGAAATGATGCTAGAATTAATAACTATATTAATTCATAATAAACAATTAGTTCTGTAAATCGGTTATTAAACATTTAAACAAAAATAGTCAGTATCAAATAGGGCTGTGCAAAAAATCGAATGCGATTTTCATGCTACACAAAATCGGCAATGAATCGCCTGCGATTTTGAACGCGATTTTGTGTAGCTTGTCAGTGAACTACGGCTCTGTGTAGTAAATGCCGCTCCATCTGAACGCACGTGCTAGAGATTTACTACTAATCACAGGAGCGGCTTTACTGACGAGATGCGCATGAAAATAATATTTGATTTTTTGCACAGCCCTAGTATCAAACCTCTACTACAAATAGAACACATTTGCCTCTAGGTTTGTAAAGATTTGAATGATTGATGATGTGTCTGTCCTTGTTTGGTAGCTCATTTGCAAACAGCAGAAAGAGTATCAGTGTAGTTTATGTTGTGGGCAAGACACATTTTGCAATGTGGTTTCCTTACAGCGTTCAGGAGTCACTGGCAAGCAGTTATGCCGAGTTCACACTGCACGATTTTAGCCCGATTTTCACTCGCCGACAGGTTTTGCGAAATCGCCGACAAATGCCCGAAATCGGAGGCAAATCGGTGCTCGTTCACGCGAGTGACAATCACGCAGTGTGAATTATCAAAGACGCGATCTGAAGGAATCGCCGATGCCCGTGAAATATTTGACATGCTAAATATCTGGAGCTGTCGGCGATTCACAATCACGCTGTGTGAAATGAGTTCTGACTGAAAAACACATCGGCGATGACCTACAGCCAATGAGAGACCAAGATACAGGGCAGCGGGAAGTTTGGGGAGGAGTTAAATGAAACGTAGTTTGCGGGCAAGTGTTGCCAAATCCGCGATTGCCGCCGGTTGTTTTTTATGTCAGCAGGTTGAAGCGACCCCAATAACATGATATTTAGGCCCTGGAATGTGAATTGTACCAGGAGAACCCCGCCAAAAAAATGTGTATTTAATCCCCAAACGCGATTTTTACTTGGGGACCCCCTCGAAAGCAATTGGGCTATTTTCAGGCTAGTTTTGAGTAGTAATTGGGCGGGTTTTGTAGCGAAAACCTGGCAACCCTGCACTAGACCGAGCTGTCGGCGATTCTTCCTATTGTAAAGTCATGCAGTGTGTAACCTCCTGTCGTCGTTCCATCGTGCAGTGTGAACATAGCAACAACTGAATGCTACCCCAGATAGTCGTTCAGTGTGAAACCAACAGTGATGCGACGTCTTTGAAAATCGTGCAGTGTGAACTCGGCATTAGGAAGAGACATAGTCATAGAAACTAGCAAGTACCAATTACAGTCCACCTTGCTAGTTTAGGGTTATAATTCTGTGGTTAGGATTTTACAACATACGATGTAGAAGTTCAAATATAGGACAGTAACTGTAAGGTTATGGCAAGATGATGAGAAATCAAGACCACATTGTCTGTTTAAAATGCTGCTGTGGGCTTATATGCGTAGACACTTTCATGGCTGTTTTGTTTTCCAGCTTTGTCTTTTTTCTAATTGAAGATTTAAAGCACTATGTATGTAAATAAACACCCAAAATTGTAACAGATCTTTATAATGCACTATTTAGAGCAGGTAAATGTTAATGTTGAGGAGAAAATATAGAAATGTCTGTTAACTTCGTTGGCTTTATAAGCTGGTCTCTGAGAACAGGTTTGTCCTCATTTTCTTTGATCAGTATCACTGTGGTGTTTATGTATAAACTACAGGGGATGTTTTTCTGATTGCTTATTAGGGCTGGACGATATGGCCAAAAGAATTATCATGATAACATTTTTCATATCAGTAGATATCAATAATTATCATGATAAATTTCAAATCTTTATTTCTTTCAAGTTAAGGCAGATTTTTGCTCCCAAGTGAAAGTTGTAGAAATCAGACTGTGAATTGTGGTTTTAAACTACTCTTTATGGTCAGAACATGACAAACACTTAACATTTTTGAATTGTTTTGCAGTGATTTTTCTTTAAAAAAAAATATCTTAAAGGGGTCATATGATGCTTTTTTAAAGATCATTATTTTGTGTATTTGGTGTAACAGAATATGTTGACATGCTTTAATGTTCAAAAAACACATTATTTTTCAAATACTGTACATTATTGTAGGTCCTCTATGCCCCGCCTCTCTCAAACGCTTCGTTTTCTACAAAGCCCCCTCCTTTAGGTTCACGAAACGGTCGTCCGGAAAATGCATAGCTGTTCTGTTGTAAGTCATCTTAAAGATTCCTAAATGCATCTACTTTCGGAAGGCCAAATATAGTGCTTTTGCTTTCGCCTAGAAACACACAGCGTCTCCCTGACATGCTGCTTCTACACTAACTGCGGTTACTGAAACCACGCTTTCTTTCTTTGCGTGCACATTTGGGTGGCATTATGCAAATATTTCCACATAGTGAGGTAGATATGTGGGGGCGTGTTAGAACGAGCCGTTTTAGGGGGGCGTGGCAGAGTCTTAACTTTGATAAAGAATATCTCTTTGGTTTTGAGACTTTAGTCTTTGCAACTTCAGGGATCTTATCTATGCACAATCAGCTTGTAACACTCCAAAGTGAAAGGAAAACTTGAAATCGCATCATATGACCCCTTTAATAGAAAAATGAATTTCTTAGTTTCTGCATTGATATTGTTTCAAATCATGAAACATTACTCTTGACAGTAGCTTGAGTTAGGATGCAGATGTACATTTCTGTTCATTATAACAAACAGTAGCATCTGTAAAAATTGTAACAACCTCTTTTTTTATATGGTGAAATTTAATTATTCTGACTGAGTTTTATTAAAATTAACCATTGGTCTTCCATAGTAGCATACATTTAGATCATGATAATCACAGTTAAAACCTCAATACCATGGTAAAAATGCATCTATACGGTTTCTTGGTAGCCTATTTGTATGAAAAAGAGTAGTATAAATACATTTAGTTTAAATGCAAATAATAAATATTTATTTATATATAATAAAATTCAATATGAATATCTCACATTTCTGCCACAATACCATGGTGCAGTTAGTGATACTACAGTAAATCCATGGTAAATGATGGTGATTTGTAGATTGAAAAGCCTTCTGACTGTATTGTTGCACACAGTGTTTCTCCTGTTTGTCAGTGCCGTTTAATCCGGCTTTAAACTAGTTCAAATCACTTTTTTATTTTAGAGTTATCGGTGTTCTTCATTGAATTCACACTGGATCACTGTTTAGTGGTCGTGTGGCCACATAATTATAATTATCGTTTTATCACCCAGCTCTATTGCTAATTTTAGTTGTTTTGACTTTTGATGATTTTACTAAGACGTAATAACAGGGCTCAACACTAAGGTTTTATTCTACTAGCCTGGTCGGGCCAGTGGTTTAAAGTTTTACTTGCTCTTCCAAAATTTTCACTGGCACCACTACAAAGAAAGTCATAAATGAGTAAAATAAAATATACATTGTTTTCTTTTTTTTTTATTAGGGCTGTGCAATTAATCGAAATCGTCATAAAATCGCGGTGCGTCTGCAGCAGTCATGCTGCGATCGTTTCCGCACGGAATCTATTTCTGCTGTGCTGTATGCGCTGAATTAAAGTGACAGCGCATTATTCTCGGTAAAAATTAACATGGATTGACACGGAAATTTAGTAATTACACCATAAATGCACATAATTAAAGTCTACTGTTTCACAGTCAACACATGGCTTTTTGGCTAGATTTAAAACAAGGAAAAGTGCACTTTTAGATAAACAAGGCAATAATAGATGGCACTCGTGGTGGTAGTTAAATAAAGTTATATTTATTGAGTTTAAACGTGAATATGTCTATGAAAGATTGTATTACTGTACTGTGATAAAAGAGAATCACAATGCTGAAAAACAACGTTTGGATTTGAAATCAAAATAAATGTTGTGTTTGTGGTAAACAGCCGCGGATCAGGAGCGGACTGCAAACGCGTCCTGTGCAAAAGCAAAATGAGTCCGTGCTGCTTCTGCAACGCATGCATATACTGTATATGCGCTGCAGACGGAGTACGTGTGAACTTGGCGCAACAAATCTAGTTCAACATCT